GCCGGCATGGCTAAAAACCGAAGGTGCACAGAACCTTCCTACCAAATGTGGTCCCTATTTTTCTACTTGCAGTTTTTACGTGCTTTCGAACTGCTAGGTTGGCAGAAGCTGGGACAAGGAATGGGAGCTCACTCCGTTATGCGGCGCTAGGGATTCAAACCGCTGAACTGCTGACCTTTCTGATTGACAAGCTCAGCGTCTTAGCCACTGAGCCGCTGCATATGGCCTTACCAAGGCCTTATAAAGTAGTATTAACACTTCACGTGATTCTATCCCTCTGTTGATGCAGCCTAGGACTGTGTTGGCTTTTTGGGTAACTGCAGCACACAGCTGGCTCATATTTAAGTGTCTACTAGGTCTCCAAGATTAGAACTAAGATTTGGATAAGCCTCCAAATTATAGCCTAGGGAAGGATTTATAAAGAGGGAAGCCTGCTGGCCCTAATTTGAGTTTATTCAAGGAACGCTCATGTGATTTCAGAAAAACCAAATCTTTGGGTAGCAGAATGAGGAAGCAGCTAGAAAGATGAGGTGTGCGGTCTGTTTGATGGTGAGAAATCAGAGCCGACGAATGCAACAGGCAAAAAGGAAAAAATGTGTAGTACTGCACAGCTCGTTTCACAAAATTCTCACCCAAGTACTTCATTCTCTTCCCTCCCACTCAATGCATCAACAGCAGCCGCTGAATTGTGCTGGGATTCCAGCAAGAGGTTTGGCATTGACCCTTCTACCGTTTGCTATGCTGCTCTAACAAAAACATTGTGCAACCTGGCGGCCCTGATCAAATGTAACAACTCCCATGTAATGAACCAAGGAGAAAATAATAATTGTTGGCAAAAATCACAGCCCGTCAATTGCAAAAAAAAGGCACCTGGACTTGGAACAGCTCACATCTTGCAATGATATCTTTAACACCATCAAACAGCCATATCTGCCTATCCCAGGTCCTTGGGAAGGACTCGGTAGGTGGACAAAAATGCCAAATCCAAATATCTAAAATATCTGGCTTGACTGTGCAACCAACCATCAAAATAAGAAAAACGCCAAATCTAATATGAACATCTGGCTGGCCATGCGATGAACCATAATATAGTGAGTATCCGGTAAAAAAAAACAAAAATTAATAAAATCCTAGTGATAATAATGAACTGGAACTGAAGAAAGAAGGGACCCATGCAATATTAATAGAGAACTATCTCAATCTTTTAACATGCTTTTAAACGGCTGCAAATAGAAACATATGGCAATTCCAGATGTTTTAGCATTACATCAGATTTGTCCCCATATCAGAGTGCTCTAGCGTCCATACCTCGGGGTTTTTAAAACCAACTGTAGAAACACTGCACTGGATTTTCCCATGCATTTGAAGGACAGCAGATCAGGAAATCTTGCTTTAATCCATTTGTTTGTTTGCTTGCTTTAAAGAGGTAAACCTCCAAGATTGAACAAGATAGTTTGCTTGAATATCTCTTAGACATTGTCAAGCTCTTTGCCCAGAACCTCCACAGATATGACTAAGGAATCATGAGCATTTGAGTATCAAAAGAAATCCACAGTCTCAAGCTCTACTAAAGAAAACCCTGATATTTGGATTCTACGGATATTAGGATTTTTTAACTATAAGTCAAAATCCCATCATTTCCTGGTCCTGCTCTATAGGCATGAAAGTTGACCTTGAAGCAATCTCTCTTAGCCCAACTCACCTCACAGGGTTATTGTTGTGGGGAAAATAGGAGGAGGAAGGTGTGTTGGATATGGTTGCTGCCTTGAGTTGTTTGTAAAAAATCATAAAGGTGGGACATCAATAACTAAATTGTGCTTTATGTTGGCAAAGTTCACAAGTTTAAAAGTTTGCTCGGAAAAACCGGGACATCGCATGACATAGGTTCCAAAACAACCTATTTCCATTGACCTTTTAGCCAATTATTCTTGGTTCTCCCCCATGATTGCAATCATGTATTTATTTGACAGAACCCATAGAACGGCCCCATCTAAACAACTTTGGGTGTTCTACATCAAGACTCTGAGCGAAGGAATATGTCCATGCATAAAAACAATCGACATTCAGTAGTGTTAAACCTGAAAAATAATTACGAACAGTGAAAAGAAAAATGAATTGTGCCAATAACATATCTGGTCTTTTATCTAACTTCTGCGCTTCTACGTTATGTCAATCTTTCACTGAAATACCAGTCTTACACCAACTGGAGTAATAAAAATGGAGCAGATCTCTGCACTTTGAGAACTATCTTTCTGTATTGAAGAAATACAGGGCTCTACTCTTGAATCCAAATCTTATCAAGAATGTTTGCAAAAAATCCTGTCTCCACACACCCATTACTTCTTTTCTTGTGAGAAAACCTCTGATAATCTTTAAATGCCCTTCAATCAGCCTGGAAAGAAAGCAAAGAGCAATTGTGGACAATTCTGAGATTTCCCAGCCTCTGTTTATTCCTTATTCCCAAATCATTGTTTGCTTGTCTAGAAAGAAGTACGATTTAAGATGCTGCTGCTTCTATTATGAAGGACAGCAGTATTTCTCACTCTCGGCCACTTTATGGTATGTGGATTTCAATGCCCAGAATTCCCTGACCAGTATGCTTGGGAATTGTGAGGATTGAAGTCCATGCCTCTTAAAATTGATAAGATTGAGACATACGTAATGGGGACAATCCAGGTCACGATAGAGACATAACATATGTCCATGTTAACACTTATCTTTAGCACATGTAAAGGAAGCAGAGAGCAATGGTTCGGAAGCATTGCTTTGCAAGCCCCTCGCATCGACATCGTACTTTACGTTAAACAATCCAAAAGAGGTTACCACCCACCACCCACCACCGCCAGCATTTGGCACAGTCTGTCTCTCATGCAGTGAGTCCAAATGATCCACCAATTACACTACAGAATGGTCACATACCATCCGCTCAGCATTAAAAGCAGCTTGCCTGCTTCCAGTGATGGATTAAGAATAAATGGGAGCTCTCGCTACAGCACAGCCAGGGGAAAAATCTGTAGCGGATACAAAATGGAGAAGGGAGATACAGAAAGCGAGCCAAATAAAGCAGGGAAGGCATCTCTTCCAGTTTTATTGTAAAGCCACAGTTTTATTGTAATCCCACAGAACTGGGGAATTTGAATGCTGAGATGCCAAGCACCAAATCTGAACCGCAAGATAATCAACCAAAAAGGGGTATATGAATTAATGCCGTGTAAATACCAATGCAACCCTGGGGTTTTAGTGTTTCTCTACTTTAAGAGGTCTGGACTTCAAATCCCAGAATTCCCCAGCCTGAAGGCTTTAATATGTGTGGACTTCTGTTCCCAGAATTCCCCAGCCAGGCCACATCTGATTCTTTGGCTGTCCCTGTCCAGCATGCAAGGATTGCTTTTATTTTGAAAGCAACATTTTTTTAAATTTACGTATGTGGATGTGTTCATACTTACATACCTTTGCAGCACTATTGGTTCACCCTCCCCTCCAGTCCCATTTTTTTATGTGATCCCTGGAGAAAATTAATTGCCCATCCCTATACAAGAGGCATGGACTGCAATTCCCAGACTTCCCTAGCTAGGGTGCTTTAACATTTATGGACTTCAGTTCCCAGAATTCCTTGGCCAGTATGCTTTAATGTATGTGGACTTCAGTTCCCAGAACCATTTTTATCACTTATGACTATAACCTTGTTGCTTGTATCTTTACAATTTATATTGTTTGTTTCCTAGTATGATTTGATTGCTTATTTAGTAATCTATTAAGTGTTGTATCTTATGATTCTTGATTAATGTATTTTTTTTTCTTTGTATGTACATGGAAAGCATATGCACCAAAGACAAATTCCTTGTCTGTCTAATCACATTTGGCCAATAAAGAATTCTATTCTATTCTATTCTATTCTATTCTATTCTATTCTATTCTATTCTTTTCTGGAAGTCCAACTTCCCCAGTTAACTTTGTCAGCTGGGAAGATTACAAATTGTGATTAGCCACTACAAGACCCTCCAACCATCATAAATGCGATTTGGTTGCAAGCAGCTGAATTGCAACACGTAACCATTGGGTGGTGCAAGGTGGTAACTGGAAGAATGGGTCACAAGTCACTTTCTCCAAGGCCATCATACATTCCAGCCAACAGTTGTAAATCAAGGACCTTCTTTGACAGGCTCTATTTATTTAAAGATTGCCATGCTTTGTGTAGAATTGCAACCTGCCTGGGAGTGTTTTAGGGCCTCACATTTTGTTGCATTGTTCATTTGGAAATATAACGAAGCAAAACCCCACCCTGTGCTCCTGACACAGTAAATAGGTTTAACTTTTTTAAATCACTCTTTTCCCTAACCCAGATGTTCAGGCTGGGGGCTTCTGGGGAACTGTAGCCCAAATAACATCTGGAAGATAACAGGGTGCCAGGAAGTTGCTTGCAGAATCTTCCTCCTATAGTTGCTCCAAGAGAAACGAATCATATAAATGCTAATCTTGATTTACTGCCGATTAAATCCCGATTGATATATCCGGCTTATCCAGCCAGTTTTGCAAAAAAACCAGAAGAGGAACAGAAAGAGGACCGCCCTTCTCTCACTGGCCCCGCCCCTTATGCTAATCAGCGCTGAATCACGCTCATCAGGAGAGGGGGGAAAAATCCCCAAGCGCGTTCAGACTAGATTCGACGAGCCTTGTCGGGGTGAAACCACCTACGTCGTAGCGGGAAGGGAAGCCGAGAAGGCCATTTCATCGCTCGGACGACAGCCCAATAAAACCCCTTTCTTCCTTTACACGATATAAGTGTAAGAAAAACCGCCATCTGCGCTTTCAAAACGGCTGTGTCCGTTTTCCAAAGACGTGCTCCCCCCCCAACCTCACTTTGGTATATCCCATGTTAAAAAAAACACAACCCAGCCGAGAAGCGGAAGAGAAGGGAAAGCAGTATGGGGGGGGGGAGGAGGAGGAGGAGGAGGGGCGGAGCCAGCGGCGGGCCACGTGACGCAGGGCTCCACCGCCATTTTGTTCTGCGGCGGCCGGGTATTTAGAGCCAGCGGCGGGCGCAGCGGAGAACCGTCCGCGCAGGACTATCGTCGTGTCGATACCGCCGCCCAGGCCGCTGACGCCGCCCCGCCATCTTGCCTCGTTCCCGGGCGGCACAGCGAAAGCACGGAAGAGAAGCCGAGGAGTATCAGCAGCGACCCCCCTCCTTTCCCCCCCTCAGGTTCCCCGACCGCGGCGGCGTCGCAGCAGCAGCAGCAACCAACCCCACCACCACCGTCGTCCTCTTCCTCGCCCCTCACCCGGTTCCGCCATGGTCAATGCTCCGGCCGGCCCCGAGTACTCCCCCTTCTTCGCCGTCATGGGCGCCTCGGCCGCCATGATCTTCAGCGGTGAGGCCCCCGGCAGCACACCTTGCGGGGGGGCGGGCAGGGAAGGAAAATCGGGTGGGGTGGGGGGCTGTTACCATGGGGTCGGAGACCCCCCCCTCCATCTGCACCACCCACCGGGCTTTCTAAGGGGGGGGCGCCTTCCAACCCTTTGAATTGGGGAGGGTCTCCAAAGGAGGGCAGGGAGGAGGAAAGATATAGCTTTTAAAAAAAAACGGGGAAGGGGCTGCAGGCGTGAAGGCTGGGCTATAAGCCTTCTCCCCCCCCCCCGCAAGCGGGTGGGTGGCAGGCTGCCAGGCTGGGGAGGATGGGAGCTGGAGTCCGGCTCCCCGCTGGGGAAGGCTGCTTTGATATATATATTTTTTAAAGAGAATCCTTGCTTTCTCTTTCCTCCCCCCACCCCCCAAAAAAAGAGGAAGAGTCGTCGTGCCATTGTCGGGAAATGCCACCCAGCCCCGCCGTCCTGGTGGTGAGGTTGGCGCATTGGGAAGGGCAAAGTGGCTTTTGGCAATGTCGTCTTTTCTCTCTCTCTGCCTCGGCTGCTTGGGGGAGCCCCACCCTGCTTGGAAGGATCCAGTAGATTCCGCTCCCAGCCGCGAACCCGGCTTGAAACGCAGGGCCGGGTTCTTCCCCCCCCCCCCCCCCAAATTGGGTGCCTTGGGCTTGGAGGGTAGATGCCCTTTAATGTTTAATCTCTATTTTTTTAAGAAGCTTTCTTCCCCCCCTTCCGGTGCCCCACTGGGCTGGCAGCATCTGTGTGACATCTGATTGCTTTTTTTTCCCCCTCCAGTGTAAAAAAAGGGAACGGATCTTGCCTCTCTTTCCTCCCCCCCCCCCAAAAAAAACACCCCCCCATTAAGCAGCTGGGTGGCCTCAAGTGGCTGCAGAGATGTTCCTGCCTGGGTGAAGGGTGGAACACCAGTCTGGCTGGAGCCAGAACCCTCCTGCCTTCTGGGAGGGAGGGAAGAAGGGGGGGAGGTATTTTGAGGAGGGTCCTTTGCTCTTTCTGGTTGGCTCATCCGGGGAATTTGAAGGGAAAGGGAGACATGGAAGAAAAGGAGATAGGCTGCTTTGGGAAAAGGCGACAGAAGGTGGGGGGGGGGAGAAATGGGGTGATGTCATAACACCAGCTGATGGAGGAACCCTGACCGGCCATATGACTGGGAGGGGGAAGAGAGAGATGTTTAAAAGCCTCTGCTGCTTCCCCACATCCATGATTTCAGCTAAGCTTGCAATGCACCCTTGAACATTACTGCCCCATGCAGCTCGCCTGGCTTTCTGGCATCTTGGGAAGACTGGGAGATTTCAAGTGGGGGCAAAGAAACTAATTTCCAAATTAAGGAGGAGCTGCAAAGTAGGGTTTTTTTCTAGCATTATCTCCTTCGTTCCTTGTGAGCTGAAGGCTGGGTTCTCAGAACTGAGATATAGCCCAAAGTAGGCTGCCAGGCTTGTGCGACTGAAGCTTGCAGATATTGGAAGAATACTGTGAAATTCAGTCTTGATCTTGTGCCTGCTTGATGAAATAATCCTAAGTGGCTGATAAAATGAAACTGGTAGCTTTACTGCTGTTGCAGCTTCACTTCTACCTTTATGCTGCCTTCATTGTACAAAACTGGGGGTTAATCCAGAAGAGTCACATCTTAGTTTTTTAGGATAATGAGAATGTTGCAACTGTTGGTGCACAACCTGTAAATTTCCTTGAAGCCTTTCTGGTCTTGTCATCTTCCAGATGGGTTGCGATAACGTTACAATTATGTGCTGTGTTATAACAGGGATTGGTGGACACCGTTTTAAATTATTGCTTCAGATAAAGAAACCTCCCAGTGGCGGTCTTCATCTATCCTGCTAAGCCAGTTTAACCTTAGTTTTATTAAACCAGATTTGGTTGGGTTGATAGTGCCATGCTAAGCTCAAACCACAATATGCCAGATTGTCAGTATTAATACAAAATTCACACAGTTCTCTTAAAATGAATACTTGGCAGTCTTCTGAAATATACTTTCCCTTAGATTTAATTGAAGACCTTGTAGCTTTTTCATTTTGAAGGTACTATACAAATTCTGCCTAACTTGTCACTTTGCTTTTTTTTTTGTTACATCTTAGATAAAATTCAATTATTGGCATCTTCTCTGGATAATCTCTTTTCCTGCAAAGATTACTGTGCATTCTAATCATCTTTGAATATAATTTTTTTTATTTTTCTTTCCTCTGTAGGGGTGTTGGGATAAATTTAGTTGTGAGACTGGCTAGCCTGAGGCATTCATTGTGACTGAATGGAAATGAGAACTTGAGTTGCCCCTCATTGGAACCATGAGGTCTTTTGTGTTTGCCACTGCAGTTCAAACCAGCTTAATTGATTTCCTTGTAGGAATTGAAAAAAGAAATAAGCAAGGGTGAAAAAAGAGCCAGCTTTAAACTTCCAGGTCTATTTTTGCCACGTAACTTCTTTAAGCCTTTTTGCTGCCTTTTTCATGTGACTTAATAGTTAATGGAAATTTGCAAAGCAGTAAAACCTCAGGTTGACTTTTGCAGTTTACGATCATCACTAATGATTTGATAGCAGCAGCTTGCATCCTTGAACTGAAACCATTGGGCCTGCCCCCAAGGGGACAGGCTATTCATACTGATGCCATTTCTAAAGACTTAGAACATCTGTCTACTACTTGACTCTGGTGCTGCCCCTCCACCCTCAGAAAACCCCCAATGCAGAAATACAAAATACTTTTTAATTTTTTTACTGTAGCGGAAAGTGGACTCTATCCAAGGAGATAGTTGTATGCATATGATATAATGCACAATGGAGTGTAGCTAGTCCTTGACTTACTACCACAATTGAGCCAAACATTTCTGTTAAGCAGGTTGGCCGTTGAGTGCATTTTGCCCCTTTTTAAAACCTATCTTGTCACAGTTAACTGAATCACCACCGTTAAGTTAGTAACATGGTTATTAACCTGGCTTCCCCATTGAATTTGCTTGTTAGAAGGTCACAAAAGGTGATCACATGACCCCAGGACACTGCAGCTGTTGTAAATATGAGCCAATTGACAAGTGTCCAAATTTTGACCACAGGTATGCTGCAACAGTCGTAAGTGTGAAAAATGGTCATAAGTCACTTTTTTCAGTGCCATTCTAACTTCAAATGGTCACTAAACAAACTAAGTAGAGGGTAAGTGTCATTCGTTGTATCTACTGTTGCAATCTTTTCCTGATTCAGCTTGTGTTGGGCAACTCTTAGTATTTCCAAGTACTGGATGCTCAGCTTGCTAATCACTTCACACTAACAGGCCAGAAGTTAATCTGCTTGTGGCAGGCAGCCCAATATGAGAATTTTGAGGTGTGAATAAGGTAGGTAAGAATGGCATTGAGTTCTGCCTTGGAGGGCCATAAGGAAGAGAAAATGTAGTCGTGTATTATAGATCTTAGTGACTCATTGAAGCCTAGATGGCTGTTAGCAGATCCAAGCTCTGTTCTGTGTAAGCAGGCTGAATGCAGAAATTGTGTTGTATAAACAGCCTCATCTTTGTCCTATACACGCTAATTTCTGATAGTAAACATCTCGTAGAAACCATTCTAGTTACCCCTGGCTAATATTGTGAGGGATTCACTGATGACCTTCAGGTGATCAACAGTGGAGACTGATCTCTATTCTCAAGGGATAATGTATTTTTTCCCCTTTCATTAGGTTATATGCAAGGATGGTCAAATACCACTGAGGAATTTAATTTTGCCTTGTAACATGGCTAATTCTAACAGGTTTCACATTGCAGAAGGAAATGATGACAAATTTCCAAGGAGTAAAATGGCCATAATCCCCATCAGGTTTCGCTACACATGGTTCTTGAAATGGCATGAGGAAGTTATACATCATGCTGAGTCAGGGGACCTCCAAACTTGGCAACTTTTTAGACTTTGGAAGTCCACAAATCTTAAAAGTTGCCAGGTTTGAACAACCCTCTGCTAAGCCAAAGATGGTGCTTTTGGTTTCACCTTTGTTGTACGAACTGAAGCATTTTGGCTTACGAACCATGATTTATGACGGTACAGTACGTAGAATAAAACATTGGCAGAGTGGAGGAATTGGGAGCCACAGATTTGGTGGGTCCATCTCATATGAGCAAGAGTGCATTTGAAATTGGTCCTTTGGTTTTAATTGCAATTTGCTTATTTTAGGGCAGGTGTTAGAATGTTCATCCCTATCACAAAATAGTGATTGTGTCATCAATTTTAGCAGTTGTGATTAAGGTGACTTTCTGTACAGAAAGGCAGTTTGGAAAATACATGTGCCTGGGATAATTCGTATGCCTTGGAATCATTTTTAGCTATCATGGCTTTTGTCTCTCTGCTTTAGAATGTTAGATATTGGGAAACTAGGCTCATCCTAGGCTTCTGATCTGCAAAATTTTGTGATTATTAGTGCCATTTCTGTATGTGAACTGCCAGCGCAAAGCTATTGTTTTCCGTTTTGGATTATATGTTAGCTTATCAGTAAATTGACTAGATCTGTATACTGCATTAGGCCCATCATGTGGTTTACTTCATGGTGATTCGATGCATATATCTAACCAGGGAAATATTACTTTAAAAAAATGCATGAATTCAGCCAGCTATAGTTCAATCCACAAACCTGGTTTAAAAGAATTATACCTTCAGGGAATGTATGACCCCAGCCATCATCCTGTGTTACAAAACTGCCTCATTTAACTGTTGGCTGTCAACATTTCTTCAGAATCGATGTCTTGGGAACAGGTAGCTATGGGAAGAAGGTTGATGAAAGCAGAATCTTTAGGAATCAGATGGCTGAGAAAATCAGTAAAACTTAGTAGAATCTATTCTGTTAAATATATATCTAGTCAAATTCCCCTATTCTGACATGATTATCATTTTGTTCAAAGTATCATTTTTGGAAAAAATAGTTGCTGAGAACAACAGCAGGGGTGCCCTTTGCTTTTAGAACTAAGATGTATTTAAAAACAATTCTAAATTGTTTTAAATTGTATATGTGA